ATTTTAGCAAATGGCTGCAATATAACAAAGAGTGAAAAATTTAAGGGGGTCTGAATACTTTCCGTACCCACTGTAAATGCAGCCTTGGTGAGCATAAATCTTTTAAATCTTTAAAAAATATTGTCACAACACCAAACTTTTGAATGGTAGAGAAAGTTGTCTAAACAAGCGAATGATTTCATACGATAATGATTTGACATGACATAATGAATTTCAATAACAACAAAAGGTTAAAAAGTCAAGTCAGTCCGCTGATCTGTCATGTGAAGTCGTCATCTAAAATTCTTCCGAAATGAAACTAAAAGCTTTTTGTCTCACAATCTACCAAAATCAGCTGTTTGCTTTCATATTACAGTGATTTCAGTCTGTAAACTATTATTAACCTGGTCACCCATGAATATTTAACAGTCCATGGAGACATGAGGAATAAACAAACCTGTTAACAAAAACAGCGTGTTAGTCTTTTGTAAGCGTGAGTCTTTGAAGTGATAATGCTTTCTACAGACGTGTAGCCTGCTTGTTTTTCCTACATGAAAATCATTTATAGGGGTGTGTTGTTAATGTTTACTCTCCGTGTTCTGCATCATTAATCCGGTTTTGGAACCCCTGAAATCGGGATTCCTCATTTTGGCATCATTTCAGACATAAATCAGAGGCAACAGTGCATGGAAAAAGCGGTTGCAAGAAATGATAATGCGGGCTTTGTGTTGGTCAGTGGAGGACATTGTCTTTCTGGGAACTGTTCATTTCCGGGAGAGATGGAGACGGACAATGTCCCTAAGAGATGTTTGACAACATGCAACCTTCATGTATTATTTGATAGTAGAATGCATAATATATTAATGATTGTTTAAAGTTTTATGAATTCAATTGATTATTATGAAATTTAAATAAAGGGGACATAACACACACAGTTTCTGCCAAGCTCATGTTAATCTTGAGAACCTATTAATGCCAGGTTAAGTAGCCTATTACACAGTTATTTTTTTAACCGTCCATTATAATACACTTCATTTAAAAATAAATACAAAATAATAATAAATCAGTATATCACTGAATCCCCATTTGAACTTTTACAAAATTACTATTATTACTATTATTTTGACCTATACACATCTCTTTGTAAAGAGATTGATCATCACTGGTTTAAGTTAATATTTGCGAGTTTACTTGTAAAAACTTCATTAAACATCATCCTGCATGAACAAGCACAATTATAGCTATACACTGATATTTGCAGATGTCGTCAAAGAAGTTCTTTACTTACAGGTATTTTAACGGCACCTTTACTTCAAGGTAGGTTTAACGATATGTTCACGATAGAGTAGCTTTACGAAGGAGAATCTCTTACCTTTAGTCAAATGTTTGAGGCTTGCAGATTCGGTAAATCCCTGAGTGACTCCTGTTTTTCTCTCCTCTGTCGCTCATGTGAAGCTGGTTTTTCCAGAGAAGAGGGATGGAGTGAACAGGTGGGAGTGAAACACCACTCCTCCTTCTCTCTTTCTCTCTCTGGAGAGGGAGAGTTTGGGTGTAATGTGTCTGTAGTAATGGAGACTCGTGAAATCACCCAGGTTTAGTCCTCTGAGGCACCTGATCAACACAACAACTAACTTTGTGTCAACAGAAAAATGTGTTGGCAAAGCAACGTATTAGGGGGATATGCGTATATGTGTAGGCTACATACGATGCATATTTATTGTGTACTAATGTTTTGTCATGAGTAGGAGTGTAATTATGGATTAAGAAAAATATAGGAGGAAATGATGACAACATCACACGAAAGGAACAAAGGATTCACGCAAACAGTAAAACTGATGTCACAATCTGACAGATCCCAAGACCAGAAAATCAAGAAAATTAATCTACAACTGGAACAAAAGAAACGAAATAGTAGTGTGATGTTTGCCTGATAAAATTTAATTAAAACTAGTTTTAAGAAGGTGCGAAAAAAGTATAAAATTATATGAAATAATGTATACAATTTTGAAAGGAAGCTTAACAACAACAACAACAACAACAACAACAAAAAAGCTTAAAATAACTTTCTTTCAAATGAATTAGATCTCAGCTTAAACAATTAAATGCTTAAAAAGCTAAGATTTCAAAAGAAATCTTAAAAAGCTTAATAGACCTCAGATTAAACCGTTAGTTAAATATTTAAACAGACAAAAGCTAAAAAAGTAAAAACACGAGGGAAAAAAAGCTTGTTACACAAGAATGAGGAAAAAGTAGGTTCAACAGAAGTTTGAAAAAAGAAAGAGAGAAAGAAAAAGAACATTTTAAAAACAAGTCATAACATAAAAATAAAGGTTCGTTATCAGTGCATATCCATAAAGATCCTTTAACATCCATTGAACATTTAATTCAAAAGGTTCTTTATGGTGGAAAAAGGTTCTTCAGATTATTAAAAAGTTCTTTACACTAAGGAATTTTCTTTTAAGAACTGTTCACTGAAAGGTTCGGAGAACCCAAAATGTTTCTTCGATCGCTGCGAAAACCCCCTTTTGGAAGCTTTATTTTTAAGAGTGTAGAGTAGACAGTCAATGCAGGTACAAAGCGTGGATTATTAAGAGGAACATTGACGTCAGTGTTCCACCTGTAGAAAAACCGGCATTTCCCCCAACCTCAACCAGCCAATTAAACAGGCAGCCGTTATTGTTTCTGACACTCTTAAATAAAGCTCAAGGCCTCGTGTGTAGGCCTACAGTAGTTATGACTCAACACCCTCACATAACACTTCAAACACGGTCATTGTGCTTTCAGTCACTCTTTAATTCATTCATCCAGAAACACTGCGCTGAATCCGTATCTCTTCATCAAACATTTTCCAGGAACTTGAAACATGTAGGAACAGCAGGATGTACAAATGATAAAAACAGGACATTTACATTAAGAACTAGCACAAAAAAAGAAATGCAAATGAACATGGCACAAGGGGAACTTTCTTTACCTGAGAGTTGAAGTATTCAATAACACTTCCCTGTGCAGTTCAGATTCAGAGCCATTCTCGCGATTTAATTATTACTGACGATCTGCATCACAGGGTTCCCGCTTTTCATGGACCAAGAAGCATAAAAGTGAAATGATTTTTTAATTTAGATAATACTGCCAGATTCCATCCGCACAATTTACTTGTTTTAGTGCACATATTCTGAACAAGTGTGTATTTGTTGTATTTTTGGAATGTTTACATGTAGACATTTGCATTTAAAATCGCTTCAGGTAGGTGAAATACAATCATTGACATCCTAATGAACCGAAAGAGAAAAAAGCAGGAGGAAAGGTTGATATTATCAACACCACCAACTACGAATCTACTAATATAATCATGTATTTATACATAAGTAGTATATGTATATGTTGACAAGTATATATTGAACCATGTTGAACCTTGAAGGAAATAATGTACCCTTGGTTAGAATTTCAGCTTACCAAAATTCTAAAAGCTTGGAAAATTCCGAGTTAAATAGAAGAAAATAAATTAGTTCACCGAAAAAAATGTAAATTTGCCGAAAATTCAGGCTTTCAGCAAATTTCAGAAAATCAGGCCAAGATATAGATGAGCTTGTTTCTTGACTACATCATCTTGACTACTCGCCAAAGTATCCTCTGGAGTGAATGGGTGCCGTCAGAATGAGTCCAAACAGCTGATAAAAACATCACAATAATCCACACCACTCCAGTCCAATCCATTAATGTCTTGTAAAGTAAAAAGCTGTGTGTTTGTCCATCCATCAGTAAAATGTTTTTAATTTTAAACAGTTGCCTCCGGCTAATATACAAGTCCAAAATCCATAATATTGTTTCCTCAAGTGAAAAAGCCATCACGTCTGAATCAGGAGAGAAATATGCACGGTTTACAAGCAACAGTCCAAAACAGTTCTAAACAAATACGTTGGTGGATGTTTATGTGAGAGGAAAACAGGAGATGGACTTTATTACTGGCAGAAACGTTATTACAGATTACGGTGATGTTTTTATCAGCTGTTTGGACTCTCATTCTGACGGCACCCATTCACTGCAGAGCATCCAATGGCGAGCATCAAAGCTGCATTGTAGCTTAAATTATAAATCAACAGAAGTAAAAAAAAAAAAAAAAAAAAAAAAAAAAAAAAAAAAAAAAAAAAAAAAAGGTTTTGGGAAAAGAAAAAGTGGTTTGGACAAGGCAATGTAAATAAATTGCAGTTTTAATAAAGCAGTATAGGTTTCTGCAAGACACAGCAGACATACTTTAATTATTTCACCCTGATTTGGATCATATGATTACGATCTTAGATTAAGAAAAAAAAATGGTGTAAACATTAACATGTTTGTTCATACAGTGTCAGCAGAAGTACAGCTTTGTTTTTCTGTGTCCAGCACAGGAATGAACTAAAAACACAATTTAGACAGACAACAAAACTGTTTTGGTTCTCTCGATCAATGTCTCTCTGTGTGTTTTTTGCATGTCCTTTTCTCCTCTATTTGAGTATCTATCAAGCATATTTTAGGTCAATACCAGGTCTTGATTTTTACAAAAAGATTTTTTTCCCTCAAAAATACACCTAAAAGTGCACAAAATGCATTTACTGCTAAATAAACACTTTGTTCCACAGGTTTAATAAAACTTTTCACATACTCATGATTTTTTTTCTTTAAGTGTCTTTCAGGTGGACTGTTTGTCTGGATGGCTCTTGAGTTTGTGGAACTTGACGCTGTCGAGTTTCTCAAAGCGTTTGCCGCAGTTTTCGCACGTGTAGTTGAAATGCGCTTCAGACATGTGTTTCCTCATGTGCCAGTTGAGTGACGCTCGCTGTCGACACTGATACCCACATATCTCACATCTGAAAGGACGGGTTCGAGAAAAACACTTATGAAGTGACATGTATTAAACATGGCAGATGTGGCTATAAGAATCGTGGTCGTTTCACTGAACTCACTGTAACGGCGTTTCTCCCGTGTGTGTTCGTCTGTGCACCTCTAAGTGATTCTTGCGTTTAAACGACTTGCCACACGTTTCACAGATAAAGTCTCGCACACCTGCATGAAAGAATGCAAAAATAGGTTTCTAATTACTGATAAATAGAATTAGTTGATTTAAAAAACAAAAAAGCAATGAAAGAAGCAATTTAAGTAACATTTAAATAATTTTTATATTATCACTTCACGATTAATAATGTGTGCAAACCAGTGTTGTTATCAATAATGAAAACTACAATGAACACATTATTGTAAATGCCTTGAAATATTTTTTTTGTAAACAAAAAAGAATGAAATAAAGAGAATAAAAATGAATATATATATATATATATATATACACACACACACACACACACACACAAATATATCATTAGTGAATTAACAAAAAACACAAATTCTTTTTATATTATAATTTTTATAGTGCATCATTATTAATGAAAACATAAAACGAAAGCATTTTTGTAAATGTTTTGAAACATTTTTGAAAATATTTTTGTACTAAAGCACATTTCCAAAAACTCAACAAATGAAAATGATACATATAAAACAAATACAGATAAACTACACATGAAGTAAATTATGAATACATTTTTGTTTTGGTCAGACAGTATATTGTAAAAGTTCAACATTTTATAACCTGCCTTAATTAAATTGAAAACGTCACTAGACAGCTGTGAGAAATGCAATGCTGGTAAATTAACTTGACAGCCGTAAAACAGTTAAATTATTATAAAAACTAAAAACACTGAACCTGCAGCAATAAAATAACAAAAAAAAATGTAAATAACAATAACTAAAACGAATAAATGAAAATTTATAAAATATATAGGCATATTTTTTTTAAAAATGACAAAAATGCAACAAAATTTTAAATAAAATTAAAGTGGAAAGAGAAAAATAAAATGAATTTATGTTAAAAACGATAACAGTATAGCAGTGATACCAAAGTACACACATGTAATAATTGATGACTGTACCTGAGTGTATGATCATGTGCCGATGAAGATGGTTGGAGAGATAAAACTTCTTCCCGCAGCCTGGATGAGGACAGACTTTGGTCCTGCCCTTCCTGTGCACCAGGTTCACATGATTCTGTACAACATACATCATAAAAATATTTTGAAATCATTATTTAACTTACAACCAGAAGCAGACAGTCTGAATTTTAATCTGCACTTATAATTGTTGCCGATAGTACAATATGAACTCTGAGAGATCTTGCACTTGAGTGTTGTGTTAGAATATTACTTTAAAATGACTTTTTGAAAAGGAGTTACATAATGTCTCAAGTTAGACAAAATAGACTAATATTAGCTTTTTTGATGATGCTGACTTCAATATCAATAAGAACCATTAATTAAGTTTTTTCACAAAATAAATATACCGGTATATATATGCATCAGCTTTAAAGGGGTCATATGATGCTGCTAAAAAGAACATTA